GCTGTATCACTAACTATCCATCTTCCCTCTTTGTGGAGGACATCAATATATGACCATGCTGTACTCAAAGACAGCCAAGCTTAGTGCAGAAGCCATCAGTTACCCCCTCTGTACATGGCATTGGACATACCAAAAAGCCTGTTCTCAAAGTTCATCAACCATACTAAACACTGACTATACAGATGGGTACAAGCACACACCTGGCCTAGCCTGCCTAGATCAGCCAACAACATGTCACTTCTCCCTTCTTTTTAGGTCTCTGTCATCTTAAACCATATCTGCATGAATGGAAATTAATCACAAACATTCAACTATTTTCAAGTGAGAAAAAGAGGCACTTCAAGTCTCCTATTGCCCTTTCATGCTGCTCAGGGAGTAAGTATTGAACTAAGTATCAATTCAAACTATGAATGATTATGAAATAAAGAAACACAGCAATGAAACCTTCAAATCACAATTTTTACAGCCGTAAGCAAAATGCGCACTGCCCAAGCATGGTGTTTTGCTGACCATGTAGCAGGTGTGTCACACTTCATGGCCAGCCTGCAGCCCAGGACCTGCACACCACCCCAAAGCTGAGCACAAGCATGATGAAGCAATTCCTGCTTATTGGGACATCTGTGGCTCACAGAGATCCATTTGGCTATGTGTGCTCCTTAAAAAAAATCAACATCACTGAAATGGGGAATATAAACAAAGGAGACCAGAATCACCTACAAGTACTTTACCAGTGCAAGATCTTTACTACCATTCACCACAAATGGCAAAGAAAACATGATTAGCAGTAACTCTGGCAAGAAAGTAGGTAAAAAGCCCCACTACATATCTGCAGGCAGCATGACAAGGTGCAATCATGACCACAATGGGTTAAGACTGCAGCAGCAGGGCATAGTACTAACCATGGGACACCCTGAACTGAGGCCACAGAGGAGACAGCTGCCTGAGCCTTGCAATTGCATCCCTAATCAGAACACACCCAGGGGTCACCTCTACCATAAAGAGGCTCTTGTCACTCATTTGAAAAAGACTTTGGTCCATGTGTGGCCACTTAGTGCAAAGCATTCCTTTAATTTCAGGAGCATATCCCCATAGTTGCTTTAGGCTTTTCTCCCAACACAAAGTCCTCCAATTTAAAAAGGCCAGTCAGTACTGGAGGCTGTGATTGTGCAAAGACTAAACTATAAGGAAACCTAGAGAGAAGCAACTTCTCATTCTCTAAAGCTTTGTCTGTTTTCATACCTACAGATCAGCACCTCATTCTCCATCAGATGAGGCAGAAAGGTCTTCTAAAATGAACTGTTAGACATCTCCCTCCTATGGCTATTCAGCTCAGCCACAGCTCAGTACAAGACAGAGCAGAAGCATGGATTGACCACCACCCAGCTACTTCATGTATCACCATTAGGGTAATTCTCCTGGTAAACTGTCACTGTTACCTATGGGGCTGTCAAACACAAAGGCCTTGAGAGGGGGCCAGAATGGTCTTGGTTGCAGCAGAATGTTCTATGCATTTAGCCTGGCTTAGAAACCTCCAGCCAGTAAGTAACCAGGCCTCTCAACACAACTTCCACAGGTAAGATTTCCAATTTATTTTTAAAGGTCTGGGTTTATTGTTTTGGTTTTTCTGTTGGGGTTTTTTGTTTGTTTTTCCCAGATTGAAAAGAACATACAAAGATCTTACTTAGCACAAACATCTTTCCAGGGAAGGCAAAAGTTTACTAACAGAAGTAAAAAGGGAGGACTCAAGCAGCCTTGGGAACTGTACGGTGGAGAAAGGAGTTGTCCTTCAGCAAAGCTGTGGTGAAAAAACACTGCTTTCCCAAGGTCACTGAAGAGCAGCAAAAGCCTGCAGTGAAGTGCCAAGAGCTCTCCCAAGGACATGAGAACCTCAACTCAAGGTGAACAGGTGTTTTCTTTAAATGTATTTCCACAGCTGGGAACAGCCCCCTTTTCATTGCAATGTTAATTTCCAACAAAATATGGAAACACAGCTACCTTGTTAAACTACATTATTAACTTACCTTACTATAAGACAAGCATAGACCGGAAAAGTTTCTATGGACAACTGGCCTGCTGAGCCTTGCCTCTGTAGCCACCTCCATAGGTTGATGGGAGGCTACAAGCTGTTGTGACCTCTTACCCATGCAGCTAGCAACATTTGTTCAGGCATTTGCTCACTGAGACAGAGGTCATTGCTCTTTAACCTGAGAAACCTTTTTTCGTCTCTAACACAACCCCAAGATTCCATGAATCTGTCTCACATTCATATAAATACATATTAAGAAATCTACTTGAAAGTGCTCATGTTGAAATTTGTCTGCAACTCCTTTGTTTAAAGTTCACTAGTGTTTTACAAAGGCTGTCTGCACCAGCAATGCAATTGCTCAAGTACAGCTCTTGAAATGTGGAATAAGAAAACCCAAAACAACACAAGGCCTCTTACTATGTCAGCAGGATGACACCTGCATGTGTTGGTTTGTGTTTTCTTCCTGCATAAAAGGAAATAGTTTCTTACATAGCTGTCAATGAATTTTTCCAGCATGGAATGAATAAAAATATGCATTACTGCAGAGATGCACTCAGCAGGCTTCTGTGGATGAACAAATGAGATCAACCTGAAAAAAACATTGTTTGGCTGAACATAAGCATTACTACAAAAATCACTATTTTTTTTTCCTCAAATGCCTCCTTCCCCTTTACTCTGAAAGCATCCAGGAAAATGTATTCCTTTACTGAGTGTTGTGAACTAGTTACATTAATGAGATTGAAGCCACCTAGCCATGGCAATTTTGTTAGTGCACCAGAGAAGACTATTCATGGGTCATGCTGAGACCAAGATCCCCATAAAACTGCTGAAGTCATCTCATCCTTCATAGAGTGAATTCAATACCTGACATATTAGCAAGTTTGTTCACATTTCAAGTAAACCAACAGAATTTGATAAAATTCACTTCATCTCAAAACCACAGAATCAAACATTCTGTGAAAATAGTGAGAGTTTACAACTTGGTATAAATCCAACTTGGATACAATAGTACATGGAACGATTCTACTGATTTCTGCAATTCACTGATAAAAAAATATTCAAGCAGTAAAAAAACCCCAATTATTAATATTTAACTTTTATCTCAAAATATCTTTTTGAAGTTACTTAACAAAAATAAACAACTCTGTACTTAAAATAAATGATGTAAAGTCTCAACAGTTGTTCACTTATGAAACCTGCAGCATAATCCGTAACAAATAAGAGTTTTTCATTGGAGTATAAGCCTGGCTACAGACTTTTCCATAGAAGACTAGCAACAAGTCTGTGGTACTGCCAGCATCCCAAGGGGATATGTGCTGAGCTAGACTCAATTCTGTAATAAAAACCTGCATCACAGTAACTCAGAAACAAAAGAAGCAAATTACCATAGTTCTTTAGAAAAAAAAAAAAAGGACACTATGGTTGCTGTGGAGAAAAGCCAACACATAAATAGGTTTGTACAAAATATGGGCTGACAAATAAATGGTATTTTCAGTGTAAGCATACTGGATATTGGGATTTCACTCTTCTGAAAACACATCAAGTATTGCTACAGAAAGAAAATGTAAAGTTCAACAAACCTCTACAAGTAGAACAAGTATTTACTTACAGAAAAAAAAAAGAACACCATTCTAAAGCAGTTCTGGGTGTCCAAATCTGTGACTCTTGAAAGAAAACTGCTTCCTTCCTACAAATGAAGCAAACGATAACTGACCAATACTTCTCTCTTACATGAATTTAAAATAAAGTTTTCACATTTTCATTGATCTGATTCTACAGTTAGAAGAGCAAGGGAAGCTGGGAGGAGTCTGATCAGCCAAGCAGTTAATGTTCTCTGACTCTACAAAGCTGACTATGAATTGGTTATTTTGTTTCCTGGATGAAAATGGTAGAAAGAATGAATTATAATAGAGGGATACCAAACTAACTTCTTTTTTTGACTAAGAGCAAATTTATAATTCTGCTTTTCAGAACAAGCCATTCTAATGCACAGCTGATCACATTGATATTCTACTTCACCACAGCCTATGGAGACAAAGCAAGTTAACACTTTGGTCTCTTTTGAACATCATCTTATCTGGGACGTAGGAAGAAAGCAGAAGTCATTCGTAATTAGAGGCAGCCTTTACTAATAAAATTACATTAATCTTCCAATGTTAGATTCTGAGGTAAAGACATAGCTTCATGGTGGCAGAGGTAAGGGAAACTAACAGAAATAGCCGAGCATGTCTTTAACTATACACTAGAAAGCTTCTTGTTTTATATAATTACCACATAGCACAACATTTTTATGAACTGGAATGTTTTCAACTTACTTTTACTTCACTCATTTTTAAGTCCAAATGGCTGACAGTGTCTAAAAACAACAGTAAATGAAGTTCAGCTATGAGTGTAGAAGGAATAAGAGATTATGATCCTCAAAGTGAAACTAAAAATAACCTTCTCTTTTTAAATACATGTTAAAAAGTTACTATCATACTCCACTAATGGAACTTCTATTCAATATACAAGCTGTTCTGCTTGATGTGTAACGAGACAAACATATCCATTAAAGAAAAAAAACAAACCCAAACAACATAGTACTTCCCTACTGCTTTAGAATTGATGAACATGCTCCCATTTCTCCTAGACTTTCTAAAAAAAAAAACAACCAAAAAACTACCAGCAGGGACCCTTAGATGAGTGCCTTAGCAGGAAAGGCCAGCCCAGCCACTCACTATTTCAGTTCTTCCAGCAATGTCTTATTTGTGTGCAATGAATAATCAGATGCTAGATACCATTAAAATATGGCATAGTGAATAAATAGTACCCCCCAGGCTGGGGTGGAACAGCAGGCCACAGGCCTAATCAATCTTTGAATGCTTTTAAATTACATGTTCTTAAAAACTTGACACTTTGCCTGGATTCTGCATGTCCACCTTACTGCTAGAAAAGTTGCAAACAACAACCAAAAAAGTCAGTAGTAAAAAAAAAATGCTGTAACACAGGCTTCAAAGAGAAAAAGAGCTTCCACATGTCTTTATTTCAGCTGAGACGATTAGTTAAGGTGCTTCCAAATTCTGCACTGCAGACAGGCTGGCAGAGGTGGCCATTGAAAGGCTAAGAGTCTTTAGCAGGTATCTAAGAGCATTTCCTAAGGCAGAACCCCTGACCTGCTAGGTTCTGTAGCGGGGCATTAGTGGAGCAGGGGCTCCCTCTAAGGGGGCTGAGGAGGAGACTGTCATAAGCTGTCCAGCATGCAGTCTCTCATTCACACGCAGTTCACAGCCATCCTGCAGCATCCTTATAGCTATCCTTGCAATGTTTTTAGAGTCATCAAGTCCACTGTGAGGTCTCCCATCATAATTCATGCCCAGCTTTTCAAGCATGATTGTCAGCTTGGTCTGGTTCCTGGGAACCTGATGGAGAAAGTGAACCACATACAAGAATTAAGTTCTGTACCAAGTCTTTTTAACATAACACAGTGCAGTAGTAACGTATGCATATTTTAAGTCTACTTAAGTCACATATTACTTTCATGTTGCCTTTTGTTAGATCACTAGCAATTTAACTTCAAAGTACCTTGGTGAGACAGACACTGATTTTTACAGTGAACAGGAGCTTGTCTAGACTCAGGATAATGCTAAGAGCCTCCCACTGCCAGAACCAGCCTCCGGATTCTCACTAACATCAAGCTTCTGGACACCTCCAAACACCAGAGGAACAGATCAGTAAGACCTAGAGCAGCCCATGTTTACATGGATGACCAACAGTGTGAACAGACAAAGGGGCTTAACTGACTTTGTCATGAAAAGTGCTACACCAGCAAAAAACCCCTTAGTTAACTACTTAATGTTTATCTTGGACCTTTGGTAAGGTCACAGAAAAACAAAAGTGTAACTTTAAAGGAAAACTTTTGTTTGCTCTCTTGGTGGCAGTGGTTGGGGTGGGTGAACACAGGACATGACAAGTTCCAAGATATTGCACCATAGTACTGGATTTAATAGCTAGGCAGACTGGTGACAACACAGTTGCCAAAACCTGGCAATATGCAATTCCAATAATAACACCCACAAACTGGGCAGGGAGACATTCATACTATTAAACAACAGATTCAACAGTGGCACAGAATAGCTACACAGAACCACTGAGCAACAATAAATGCTACAACTGTTTGCATTTATTTAAAAAAAATAATCACAAAAAGTAAAAAGAAATTTATTGCTTCCAATATAGGAACTTGCTAGAATCTCCAATAACCCATTTTTATGATAATCTGACAGTGAAAGAAAGCAGCAATACAGTCCAGCACTGAACATGATTGCCCTTTACAATTTCACAATTTTACAATTTTTTTTTTACAATTGCACTGTCAAAGTTGAAGATAACTGAGATAACTGCAAAACAATTTGGTAGTGTATTACACGTAAATAGGAAAAAATAACTGAAGAATCAAGAGTCTTTTCCACTGAACTACTTAAAGACACACTTGATCTAAGAGCACCAGTGGGACATTTTTAGACAATCGTTCATGAACCATTTCCTGATTCTTAAAAGCAAAATGAAAATAAAAATGCAGTAGATTATGACTTTCAATTAGCACCATGAGATCTGGGCATGAAGCACATTTGAAAATCAGGCTCCAGGCAACAGCTTAAGCACATAATTTTATCCTATACAAGTAAAGATGACAAGCACAACAGGACATTCTAGAATTCTAAACCAAATTTCCCTGTAGGAAAAGCAACAATTTGTACAAACCTTATAGAAGTTTCCATATGATTTGCGAATATTGATCCACTTTTTGGCAAAAGAAGGGTATTTGATACGGCTAATACGGCACTGGGTGTTCAAAAATTTACTCATATCCCAAGATCTTAGTCATAAAAGAAAAGAGAAAGATGTTAGAAGTACATAATTCAGATGCCCTGCACTCTATATTGCACAGCTGTAGCACAAAGAGCACAAAGGTCATGAGAAGAAGGAAAACAGTTTAGAAAAACCTCTTTCACTGTAGTCAAGGTAAAGATTTTTTGAGTATGAATTTGTTAATCATGGGGAAAACAAATGACAACATGAGCAAGATTTTCTCTAGAATGGCTTCAGGTTCAGGATAGTTAACACAAAAAATAGGACACCAACTTCTCCACCTACCACATCTACTCCAAAAATACTAATAAATCAGATGCTTCCACAGCCCTTGGGGAAGCAAGCAACATGGTACATGTTCCTGATTACTGTTAATACTGGACACAACCACATTCCAGTGATAGGGGTTCTTCTCCAGAAACGTCCTGTCATGGCCAAAAAATTCTGCCACTCGATAAGTTGGGTTAGTTAAAAAAGCTTTTGTTATGTATTAATTAATCTTCTATGATGCATTATTTTTCAAACCACTCATATTATGGACTGGAATATTTTTCTGTGTTTTACTTGATGGAAGTGTTAGGAATTCATACTAAGATCTTCCATGCTCTCTTTTCATGAATTCCAGTTTTATTTCAGGGTTCATCTCTTTGGTTCAACAGAGTCATTGTAACAGAGCAGCACAGGACTGCTGTTTTAATCCAGCACTGCAGAAGATCTACTCCAGGCAGACAACAGGCATAGCAACATAGAAATGCATCATTCACCTCAACATGGCTAATGCTAAAAAATCCCTGTCCTACTTAAATCCCTCATTCCAAGAGAAGGAAGAAAGCAGACACGTTAACAGAGCAGTAATGTTTCAAAGCTAAAAAGCAAGCATCACCTACAGAAAAATTTCCTGGCCAGTGCTACATAAGACAAAACTCAAACAGTATCTTTAATCATATAATAAAGCGAAGATCACAAGAAAAAGATTCCATCATGTATGTATCTAGATCTCAAGATCTGTTCACTTTGCAGTCAAGAGGGTACTTGATTTTCCACCCAGCCTTTGGGAAACCGCAAGTTCAGGTGGCGATTCAAGGACTAGTCAACCCCTCACACAGAAAGCTTGTCAGAAGTTGGACCCACCAGAGCCACATTCCTCTGAGCCAAAGCAGAGAGCTTTCTGTGCTCACCATTTCCGCTGCTTTGATAAACTTGCTTTCTGGCAAAATATGCAGGGTGTATTAACAGTAACACTAACAGACACAAGATACAACACAACCAACACATATCTCTGAAACCTCAGAATCATGAGAGTGTGGGAGTTGCTTAGAACTGAAATTTCACAACATTATTTGCAGGTATTATGTGTTATATGAAAACTAGATGTAAACAGAGAATTACAACAACAACAAGATGCAAACTGTATTTGGTATTATTTAGTTGCATAAAGCAAGTCAGGAAAGAAACAGTGCCATCTAATGGATTTAAGCTTCATTTCAAATTTTTTAGTTCAGCTTTTCCAATTTTCCCAAAAGCTAAAACTATAGTAAAATGGCAGTGTCATGATCCACCTTTAACGATACTCTCAATAAGATTAAAAACAATTTTACAGTTTTAGATTGTTCTGAAGGTTGGATAAGGACATACCCATCTGTCAACATGGAATAGCTGTACTTTGTTCCCAGTTCTCGCTGTCTCATCCACTCTATGACATTCTGCAGAACTTGAATAAATGTATCAGCTTTATCAACAATGTCCTAAGAGAGCAGGAAGAAAAAACCAAACAAGGTTCACAAAAAAACCAGCATGAAGTGTAAGAATTATATTGGTGTATAGACACTCATTAAATCACTCACTTAACTGGCTCCATAAAAATCTTTGGAAACAGATTACATGTTAAAATAACCAATCAGATTTTTCTAAGCTGAAAGAAAAGTACCACTGAAGTACCACTGAAAGAGCCAACCTCCAAATGACATCTATAAAGGTAACAGGGTCAGTCAGCTGTTGCACTCGGATTAAAACCTTTCAGCTTGTTTCCCAGGCTCCTGCTAAAACCACTTGATCTCAACCCATTGCCATCGTAAGACTCTGAAGACTTTACAATAAAAATCTTAGAAGCAGAACTGATTCAATTCAAAAGCTGCTTTCCTCTACTAAAGATTAAGTTTCTACACATGAATTACAGAGTGGTTACTTTTCCCTACTGTCCCTTACAAACACCTAGATGACCAATTCAGTGATTTGGAGGGGGGGGAGAAGGATTAAGAGAATAAGCCTTACAGAAAAAGCCCTACCATGAAAGACTATCAGCTTGAAAACATCAACAACACATCTCCCTTTTTCATATTTTTTTCCTGAAGAAACAGAAGTGCACATTACCTGGGTGATTCCTGTCAGACTGATGCAGAAGTTTGAAAGCTTGGGATTAATCTCTGGCTTCACATATTGCTGAAAGGTATCTTCCTGTAATGACAGAATCGAACACTCAAAAGCAGCCCAGGAGACAACTTCTCTGGATTTCCCACAGCTGAAAGGCTATAGCTGCTGCGTGTCCTGCTGGAGGCAAAAAGGAGCATGTACCTCCTGAGCCAGTATGAGCCTCCTGACTGGTCATCATGAGGTTCCTAATGGAGTGGATGGATGGCTTTCTGACTGGAACACAGCCTTCCCCTTAGCCAGTAGGAACCAAAGAGCAGGGAAGTGGATGTAAAATAGCAGAAGGATAGACTGCAATAATGGGGAAGATTTAGGAAAGGAAGGAGTAGGAATGAGTAAGGAAAAACGTGAGAGGCATGAGCAAAGCCTTTCTGTTACTTTTTAGGTGATGCCTCTAAAGGCTCACCTGTATTTCAAGGAAGGCAACTGGCCATACATCTCAAGAGACTGCATGCACCTCATCCGCCTCTAGATGCCAGTCCATCAGAGATAAACACAATGACCTCACTCTGGGAAACCAAGCAGTACAAAAGTGAAGACTACGTGCAAGTTTCATAGAAAAAACTGAAAGCCCCAAATCCCTGCTGCAGTACAAACCCTTTTGGACAGAGGAAAAAAATATGCTGCTTCCTACGACTCTAAAAGTAATAAAACAATCTTGATGATCTGCAAAATCATCTTCCTGCAGTTAGTCATACATGCAGTTGCACGCTAATGTAGCACCACAGTGCTTAGTAGCAATCCTGCTCCTTCCAAAAGTTCTTGATAAATGAACTATTAGTCAGAGGAGCATGCACGTTCTCCATTTCACTGAGTCACTCAGTTCCAGTTAGACAGTGAGTAAAGAAGCTGTATTGGTACAGGGCACTTGAGGCCTTCAAATGCCTACTAAATATTAAACATCATGTTACACAGCTGTCAATTTGTCAGGTACACTCTGGAAATAGTGTAGCTTGCAGAGTTCACTCAACTCTGCTTTCTAGACCTCTGCATTACTCTATTCTAGATTGCCTCACACAGGGAATTTTCTAATTCTTGTTTACAATGAATCTCCCAAGCCCTAGAAATAGCTTTATGGATATTAAAGCAGGGAGAGAAGGGCAGGGAGGACAACTGAGAAACTGAAAGTCCCTGTCATTAGTTGAGGGAGTCAAGAGCAGAAAAATTATCTACTCCAGATGCTTTAAGAATAGAAAGTTTGGTTAGCAAGAGCCACAGAGGATAGTCTTTATGAGAAGAAAAAAAATGCTATTTTAAATGAAGTTGAACATCTACCTAAAAACTAACCCTCGTGTTCAGAAGCAAAGAATTTACAGCAAAGAACAGCATGCCATTAGTAATTACATCACTTACTATTTCCAGGGTATGTGTGTTCAGTAAGACAATAGGAAACTCAATTATTTCATGAATGAATTCAGGTGGGTTTCCTTCTTCACATGTTGCTTCAAAGTCAACAACACAGATGTAGTCATAGTAGCTGTCTCCATTAATGGGCTCCTTCTGCATCAACTTCTGTTTCTTATAGTAGTTTTTTAGTCTCTTTTTCAGCACATCTTTCACCCCTCTTAAAGAGACAAGGAAAGTGACAAATATCACACTCTCATTTAATTATTTCACCATTGTAGAACTGAAACTATATTTAACATTTAAAAGTTCAAAATTTATTAACTTCATTTTGAACACCAGCACTCACAAAGTCTAAACTCAACTTTATAATGCAGTTAATGCTCCATTATCTGTGATAATGCAGATGCTGCAATACTCCCCTGAACACTAAAACATGTAGATAATACTGGTATTTGGGGACAAACTGGGAAGCACAGAGTAGAGACACTGTAGTCACCTTCAATTCAACAAGACTCAGTAGCCAAAGCCTTTGCAAAGTCTTTGTAGACTGCTGCTAGATGACCTCTTGCCCTGGAAGCAGCACAGCTCCACCAGCATTTCGCTGTGCTCTCTGCCTGAAGTGACTGGTGCCTGAGGTACTTCTGCACAGATAACGCAGAATCCAGCCAAAATGCTCACATTTTAAATTGGTCTCAATTTACAACTGAGCTGGAGTAATTAAATTAAAGTACTCAAAATTTCAGTTGTCATGAAAGCTTCCTGGTCGAGAGCCTGCTTTTCAGGAGGTTTTGTGGCTAACAGAAATTCACAATGGCAAATGATTATTTACTGCATCTTTTCAATACAAATACTATAATAGGCAAGCGCAGGTGCCAGAACTACCACATAGCAAACCATAGCAAACAAATTATTTTTAAAATTACAGATTGCAAATGAAATCACAGAAGCTGCAAGAGCTACTTGTAGCAAGTGATATTATCAGAAAAGCAGCCCCACTGATCCACAAGCAAAAACTGGAACCAGAATACTAAACATACTGGAGAACACCAGCGTTTTCTGCGAACGCAGAAGACTGATAAATAAAGTGGTTTATTAATCTAGTTTAACTCAATGACCAGTTCATTCAAAGATGAAACAGTAAAGGAACTGATGGAGGGGGAAATTACCCTTTTCTTCATCAAACTTACAAAAGGAATTGAAAGAGGAGATGACCTGCTACCAAAATAACCCCAAGGGTTATGGTGTGTGGCAGTCTGCTCAATTCACTAAATTAGAGGTAATGCACTGACTATCTGCATTGACTAAATTCTAAGCCTTATCACCACAGAGGTTCTAGTCAGCATCAGATCTGTACTGGGTACAGTAAATAAAAATAACTGTATTCGGAAGCAGGTTTGTCTACACTGAAAGTCTGTGTAGCCACTCAAGAACCCTTGCAGTTTTTCAGACCCGTCTCTCCCCCTTGACCAAAAGCATGTTGAGACACAACCTACAGTTACATATTCTTCTCTCTCTTTGCATTACTAGTTGAGACCACACACAGTTCTGAAACACATTAAGCAGCATCACGCACTAATCCTACAACAAGAGCTGCAAGACTGCACATAAAACAGCTGGTGTTTGGCTTTTCATTTTGGGGTGTGTTTTTAAACTTTAAAATAATCATTCCTATGTTTCTACTGCTCTTGAATAACAAGAAAACCAGCCTAACCTGGTTTCAAGCTTGAACTCTGCAAGTTTACATCTGAGCTCTTCTCGGGTCATTCTGTTGATATAACCATTGGTCATAGCAATTTCTTTGTAAACTGGATCACTGAAGTCATTCAAACTGGCAGTTGAGTTTTTCTCATTAGTTTCTTGATCACTGATCTTACAATGCGGCCTACCCTAGATTAAAGAGAAATCCAAAGGTCATTTAAGAGGGTGAAAACAAGAAACTAGAGCATTACATTTTACATATTGTTCCAGCACCAAAATGCAGTAAAGCACGACATGGTTTCAATCTTGATCAAGTTAAGTGAAGTAGCTTTTAGATGGGTGAGAAAATCAACGCTGCAGCTTGCTCTGAACACTGTTTTCCTTCTCAGTTTCTTTAAAACCACTCTGCAGAGTGAGGGGATACTAACACTCATGACTGAGGCCACGCCAGGGAGTAGCTCCAGGAGATGAAACCTGGGTGTGAGCTCCAGTACCAACAGAAACAGTTCTCTGGAATGAGCGGGCAAAACCCTGACCAGGAGTGTGTTCTCTCCGTCTCCTCACTAACCAGTATATATACTGAGACACACAGGCGTCCAACGCTGTGCAAAACAAACAAATCTATACGTCAAGACGAAAACCTAAAGGCACTTTGACTCCAAACGGTTACTCTCAAGCTTCATGTGGCGAGCACACGGCGGGGACGGCCTCCCGAAAACCCG